ACAACAGGTATAAATTCTAAATAAAAGGTTTCTTTCACAAATATACACATTTTGTACAATGAATGTCAAAAGATTTCTTAGTTGGAAGAACATTTTGAAATTTAGGGACAAAGTACTTTGTATGAACAAAGCAGCAAAAAGAAATTCATGTATCAAGACGGGCACCAGTGGCTCACGTCTGTCATCCTAGCTACTCAGGAAGCTGAGATCTAAGAATCAGCTCAAAGCCAGCCTGGGCAGAAAAGTCCATGAGACTCTTATCTCCAATTAACCACTAGAAAACCAGAAGTGGTGCTGTGGTTCAAGTGGTAAGAGTGCTACCCTTGAGCTGAAGAGCTCAGGGTCAGTGCCCAAAACCAGAGTTCAAGCCTCATAATGACAATGAATCACCTAAATGGGTCCCAGGGTCCTTGCAAAAAGAAATAGGAAAGCCGGAATCAGAGCTGGGACAACAGAATAACCAGCTTTGAAGAGGGAGGAAGGGGCTGAGAGAAAAGGAATACAACAGCTTCTAGAAGTTGGAGCATCCCCTTAAAGTGGGAAAGGGTAGAATTATCTGCCATTTATCAGAAAGTCACCTTGATAAGTCTTCCCTCCCTGCCCCCCTCCTCCCCGCTAGTATTCTGAAACTCTCATTTCTTCTGGGAATTAAAGAACAGAGTTTGTAGCGGGGTGCAGTGGCTCATGCCTTAATCCTAGCTATGCAGGAAGCTGAGATCTGAGGATGGCAGTTCAAAGCCAGCAGGAGGGGTGGGGGTGGGGGAGGAGGGATAGTGGGAGAACAACAAGGGAAGGGGTAACAATGCTTGACAAGAAATGTACTCGTTGCCTTACTCATGTAACTGTAACCCCTCTGTACAGCATCTTTACAATAAAAAAAAAAGCCAGCTGAGACAGGAAAATCTGTGAGAGTCTTAGCTCCAATAAAACTACTCATAATCAGAAGTGGCACTGTGCCTCAAGTGGTAGAGCACTTGTTGATCTGAAGAGCTGAGGGACAGCGTCCAGGCCCAGAGTTCAGGCCCCACAACTGACTGACAAACAACAACAACAAAAAAACACTCCCAGAAAGTATCATTTCATAAACATTGCCAGGGGCTGGGAAGGTGGCTCAGTGGTAGAGCGCTTGCCTTGCATGCCTGAGGCCCTGGGTTCGATTCCTCAGCACCACATAAGCAAAAAGAAAAAAGCTGGAAGTGGTGCTGTGGCTCAAGTGGTAGAGTGCTAGCCTTGAGCTGAAGAGCTGAGGGCAGCATCCGGGCCCACAGTTCAGGCCCCATGACTGGACTCAAAAAACAAACAAAAAAACCCATAAACACTGCCAGGCTGATGACTATGTATGTGCTGGGGCCTCTCCACTCCATTAAAGGGCATCATCAGGGGCAAGGAGCAACTGTGAAATAGGACACTAGCCACAATACAACCCTCTGCCATGCAGTTAGCATTTCAGAAAATGGCTCTGTATAGTTGTTCTCCATGTTAAATTTAGTTGGAGAACAAACAGCAGCTGGTACATGAGAGCACTAAGACATTCAGGGCAGTCATTAAGCATGCCCCAGAAGCAGCTGCTGAGGCTCAGGCTCTGCCTTGGCTTTTGCACTGGCACTCTGCCCTCAGCTTGAAGCAGCTGACACCCATCTGTATTTGCTTGTGCACAGAGCCATCAGATGAAATGGCCACTGTGGCTCATGGCATCACAGCTTGCAAGCTTAAAGAGTGAAACTATGAAGACAGAATAAACAGCACCAAAGATTAACAGCTCTCTTAAGCTCTTATTTTACCCAGTGAACCCTGAGGCAGCTATTCCAGAGAAATGAAAACTGTTCTCTACACAATGATCTGTACACAAATGTTCGTGGTAGCTTCCTATGAAACCCTCCACTTGTTCATAAACAGGCAATTGGATATGCAAAGGGTGGTACCATTACCTAGAAAAAAAATTCTTGAGATGTAGATAAAACACAATATTTGAGCAAATGATTCCAGACACACAGATATGATAGAATTCTACTGACTTGGAATTCTAGAAGAGGCAAACTTGTCTAGCAAGGTGCAAATCGGAGGTGGTAACTTCAGGAGGTGACCACTGTGAAGGAGGAGGCAAGGGAACTCTGAAAGACTGGAAATATACTATTTCTAGATCTGAGAAGTAATTAGAGGCATACACATACATAAACATTTATCAAGGTACACAAGAGATTACCTTATTATCTACATGCTTCAATTTTAGAAAGGGAAATGGAAAAATGAGAACCCTCTAGTCATAAAGTAAGCAGGGAAGGAAGTTTTAGAAGTTGGCATAGAAAAGGAAAAGCAGCGATGACAGATGGCACACAGTACAACACATGTGGACTAATGAGAGCCACACACTCATTCCAGAGCAAAACCCAGCATTTAAGATTTCTGGCTTCCAGTCTGGTATGTGCAGATGTCCCAACAAGTAAAATGCTGAAAAATCAACAAGCCTTCTTAGATTTATCACAATCCCAAGGGCGAAAGTTGTCCCCAAAACCTGAAAGACGGAAAGGCAAATTCAAGAATCATACTACCACATCAGAATCCTCCACTGAAGTGGTTAATGTAACCAATGAGTTGCTAGAGAATCACTGTGGACAACTTGCCTGACCCAGGACAACTTCCCCTGAGTGTAACCTAGGGGTTTTTATTATAGCCCAACTGACCAGTGCTCTTCCAGTCTCATTCTGTCCCATTTGAGGGTGAAAACATGCACTGACAGAGTTGATACTAGGCAAGGGAAACATGAGACAACAAGGTTCAGTCCAAAAGAACCTATAATAAGAATGAATAAGAAGCCGGGCACCAGTTGCTCACACATGTAATCCTAGCTACTCAGGAGGCTGAGATCTGAGGATCGGGTTCAAAGACAGCCAGTCCAAGCACGAAAGACCATGAGACTCTTCTGTCCATCATGGGGTTTAAACTCTGGGCCTGGGCACTGTCCCTCAGCTCTTCAGCTCAAGGCTAGCGCTCTACCACTTGAGCCACAGCGCTTCCAGTTTTCTGGTGGTTTACTGGGGGTAATAGTCTTACAGACTTTCCTGCCTGGGCTGGCTTTGAACTGTGATCTCAGATCTCAGCCTCCTGAGTAGCTAGGATTTCAGGTGTGAGCCACCAATGCCTGACTTCTTTTTTTTTTGCCAGTCCTGGGGCTTGAACTCTGGGCCCGGGCACTGTCCCTAAGCTTCTTTTACTCAAGGCTAGCACTCTACCACTTGAGTCACAGTGCCACTTCTGTCTTTTTCTGTGTACATGGTATGGAGGAATTGAACCCAGGGCTTCATGCAAGAGAAGCAAGCACTATACCACTCAGTCACATTCTCAGCCTGGCACATATTCTTTTTTTTTGGTCCAGTCGTGGGGCCAGAACTCTGGGCCTGGGCACTGTCCCTCAGCTCTTCAGCTCAAAGCTAGTGCTCTACCACTTGAGCCACAGTGCCACTTCCGGCTTTTTTCTTTTTGCTTATGTGGTGCTGAGGAATCGAACCCAGGGCCTCAGACATGCAAGGCAAATGCTCTACCACTGAGCCACCTTCCCAGCCCCACATATTCTTTTAAAGTTACTGAAATTAGTTTTCTGGCATTCTGTTGAAGTATTTTCACATCAATACTTACAAGGGAAAAACCACAGATTCTTTGTAGTATCTTTGTCTGATTTGGCTAAGATTACTGCTGATCTCAGAAAAGTTAGGAAGCATTTCTCTGAGAAAGACTGGTATTTTTTCCTTGTTCCTTTTGTTTATAAAGTTTGAAGGGAAAGTAGACATTTTGAATAGTATGTGTACTTAACTCCTTTCCTAATACTCATGGATTTCTGAATTCTACTTTAGAGCTCAGATGGTTTACTGAGGACTTTTCCAAAATACATCTGCAAGGTGTATACCCCTTGTTCTCTGTGACTGAGATTTCCTTTTACATACATGGTTTCTGAAGGGAAGCCCAATGTAATTCTTAATCTTCTCCATGCTACTGAAGGTGCTAAATAAGCAAGTGTCAAACTAGGAATTCTCAGGAAGAGCCCTGAAGAGTTTCTAAGGTAAAAGAGTTCAAGCCCCATGACTGACAAAAAAGAAAAGAAAAGAATTAAGACTTACTATGTCGAAAAACGAACTTTACAACGTTGGCGGGGAGGGGCGGAGGGGGGGGCAGTAGTGTAGATATGGGTGGGAGGGCAGGATATGGGAAGGGATGGGAAGGGGAAACAAAGGAGGAAGCAACAATGCTTGATAAGAAATGTACTCATTATTTGCCCATGTAATTGTAACTCCTCTGTACGGTATTTTCATAATAAAAAATTAAAAAAAAAAAAAGACTTGGGTTGGGAATGTGGTCCAGTGGTAGAGTGCTTGCCTAGCATGCAGGAAGTCCTGGGTTTGATTCCTCCGCACCACATAAACAGAAGAAGCCGGAAATGGTACTGTGGCTCAAGTGGGAGAGTGCTAGCCTTGAACAAAAGAAGCTCAACGACAGTGCCCAGGCCCTCAGTTCAAGCCCTGGGACAGACAAAAAAAAAAAATCTAAGCCAGGAGATTTATCAGAGTTCTGAAAGGACATCACTATAAAACACAATTCTGGAGGTTTTCAAAATGGAAAGAACAAATAAAAAGTCTTCTAACTGCCAAACAAACATTAAGGAAAAACAAAACAACTACACATTATAAAAAAATATTTGTGTAAGAAAATTAAACTCAAGCCAGGCGTCGATGGCTCATGCCTGTAATCCTAGCTACTCAGGAGGCTGAGATCTTAGGATCATGGTTCAAAGCCAACCAGGGAAGGAAACTCTATGAGACTCTTTTTTTCGGTTGGTTGTGGAGCCTGAACTCTGGGCCTGGGTGCTGTCCCTCAGCTCTTCAGCTCAAAGCTAGCGCCTTACCACTTGAACCACAGCTCCACTTCTGGCTTTTTCTGCTTATGTGGTGCTGAGGAATTGAACCCAAGACCTCATGCATGCAAGGCAAGCACTCTACCACTGAGCCACCTTCCCAGCCCCTCCGTGAGACTCTTTTGGTCTTTTGTAGCTTTTTATTCCTTTTTTTCCCCAGGGCTGAGGACCGAACCCAGGGCCTTGCACGTGTCAGGCGGGTGCCCTTCGGCTGGGTTAAACCCCCAGCCCCCCCCCCCCCGTGAGACTCTTATCTCCAATAATCCAATCGGGAAACCAGAAGTGGCTCCAGTGGTAGAGCGCTTAGCTTAGGCTGAAGAGCTGAGGGACAGTGCCCAGGCCAAGAGTTCAAGCCCCATGACAGACAAAAAAGGAAAATTAAACTCTTGGCCAGGCACCAGTGGCTCATGCCTGTATCATAGCTACTCAGGAAGCTGAGATCTGAGGATCAAGGTACAAAGCGAGCCTGCATAGGAAAGTCCCTGAGACTCTTATCTCCAATTAACCAACAGAAAACCAGAAGTGGTGCTGTGCCTCATGTGATAGAGTGCTTGCCTGAAGCTGAAGAGCTGAGGGACAGCGCCCAGGCCCAGAGTTCAAGCCCCCCAACAGTCAAAAAAACAAAAACAACAAATAAAATTAAACTCTGACCTTAAAGGTAAGAGCTCAAAGCAAAGGATCAAAGAGGGACAATGATTCTCAAGGTTAAGTGGTAATTAGGGAAGGGACATTAGGGAAGGTTGGCATCCTGAAATCTATGCCATTACTGGCCCTCTTATATTTCAAGAAGGGGCTGGGAATGTGGCATAGTGGTAGAGTGCTTGCCTAGCATGCAAGAAGCCCTGGGTTCAATATCTCAATACCACATACACAGGAAAAGCCTTAAGTGGTGCTGTGGTTCAAGTGGTAGAGAGCTAGCCCTGATTAAAGGAAGCCCAGGGAAAGTGCCCAGGCCCTGAGTTCAAGCCCTAAGAATGGCAAAAAAGAAAAATTCAAAAAGGAATATAGCTCCAACACAAAAGTAGTACCTGGAAATGCCACAACATGCCAAGGTTTTCATATGCTCTGTCTCTCTAATGAACATGTCACGTGATTTCTCATTAAGGGCTGCTTTCCATGTATTCACCTGGAGAAAGTCTCCAAAACATTTCTTCCTCCATCACCCATGGCTCCTCTTCTTGTTCCAGCTTGAAGATCACATCTGGTTTGGTGACTTGACAACCTATTATGGGAAACAGCAAAGAACAAGAATGTTGATCCTTCCCTATTTAAGTGGCACCAATTAGTTGCACAGGAGTTTTCATTATGACTGGTCATATAGCATGCAATGTTCCTTAATTTGACTCACCCCCCTCTATCACACTCCATCATACTACCTACCCACTCAATTTCAACAAGCTTCCCTGTTCTATTTCCATACAGGTACATTAAGTATTCTGACCTTATTAACTCTCTTCTCTCCGTGTCCTCATCCACTCCAACTAGTACTCACCCCTTTGACAAGAATGGTTTTCATTTCTTTTTTTTTCTTTTTGGTCGGTCGTGGGGCTTGAACTCTGGGCCTGGGCGCTGTCCCTCAGCTCTTCAGCTCAAGGCAAGCGCTCTACCACTTGAGCTACAGCGCCACTTCCGGTTTTCTGGTGGTTTATTAGAGATAGAAGTCTCACAGTCTCTCCTGCCCAGGCTGGCTTTGAACCTCGATCCTCAGATCTCAGCCTCCTGAGTAGCTAGGATTACAGGCGTGAGCCACCAGTGCCCAGCTGATAGTTATTATCTTAATCTACATTGCTTATGAATTCTATGACCTTTAACAATAAAACTATTTTTTTTTATAACCGGGTGATATGTGTATGTGTATTTCTTTCCTTTTGCTTATTATCAGCTGTTCCCTCTCTCATTCCCTACCTCTCATCACCACCCTTGACTTGCTTGGCTTGGTTCAATTTCATCAATGTCCAGTGCAGCTGATGGGCATATGTAGTATTTTAACTGCTTGCTCTCACTTTCCCCATCTCCACTATCCCCTATTATTCAACAGCTTTTGGTAAGTTTCAATCCCTCAGAGACAATGTACTTTATCACTGTTCACCCTCTAACACCCTCTCTGCCCCATAGTCCTTTCAACCAGTTCCACAACTACAAACGTAAGAACTTAAGAGTTCAGGCCCATGACCTGACCCCCCCCCAAAAAAACAAACAAAACCCAACAACTTAGATGAAAATGCTGAAGACAACCACACAGACTCTACTGGTGCCTAAGATGGGGAACATGAAAGATGGGGACAAAGGAGCTTCCACTGTAACTAAGGCAATTAGTGTCTACCCTGAAGATATAAGCTCAGTACAATGGTATACAACTAGGGAAGCTGAACTTTTTACACAGGGCGGGAAAGAAAAGGGGCTGGTATTAACTGCAAAGCTACCCTTACCCACTGCGACTAGGTTCCTATATGTCTCCAACATCACATCTCGGTACAAGTTCCTCTGAGCAGGTTTCATTTGCTGCCATTCTTCCTGAGAGAGGTCCACAGCCACATGCTGAAATGCCACTGTTTTCTGTGAAAACACAAGCCTAGTTAATTTACATTAGTATAACTTAGTTCAACTTGTATCAAAATGTGAAACTGAAGAAATATATAAGATCATGTAGGGCTGGGAAGGTGGCTCAGTGGTAGAGTGCTTGCCTTGCACGCATGAGGCCCTGGGTTCAATTCCTCAGCACCACATAAACAGAAAAAGCTGGAAGTAGCACTGTAGCTCAAGGGGTAGAGCACTAGCCTTGAGCAGAACAGCTGAGAGACAGCACCCGGGCCCAGAGTTCAGGCCCCACAACCGACACATACACAAAAAAAAGATCATTTAAAAAATGCATGTCATAGTCTTCTAGATAATTTTCATTTTCATCATTGGCAAATACTGACTAGAATTATAAAAATCATGGCAATAGCTTGAGAAAATCTTTTGGCTTATGTGCCAATATAAAGGCTTTCTTTTCTTTTTCAATTTTAAGGTATTTTTTTTTCCCTCTGATAAGAAGTGTAAACTATGAAACAAACTTTGTACCCCAGTTTGCTATCATTTTCTAGATTATATTCACTGTTCAATCTGAATAACCTGAACAATTCTGTATTTACTTATTTCTTCATAGTCATATCTCATTCTTCCCCTGGCTCTGATTTCTCAATCTGTATTTTTTTCACTTCTATTCATGAACGTAGTTTAACAGCATACTGTAAGTTTAGAGCAACACAGTACTACTGCACTGTATAATAACACAGGAAATAAATGATTAAAACGTACAATAGACCTGTTCATATCCTCTTCTTCCTTGTCTGCAGAGTCCTGTAGACACCAACCTGAGGAAAGGCAAAACAGATTTGCTTCAGAGTTCCAGAAAAAGAAATATGGAAATCTTCAGTACCACATGGTTATAAAGGCCCTTATGGACAAATGTTCCTCAAGGCCATTAGAAATGTTAAGCACTGTTAGGTGCCAGTGGCTCATGTCTATAATCCTAGCTACTCTGGACACTGAAATCTGAGAATCATAGTTCAAAGCCAGACCAGGCAGGAGAGTCCATGAGATTCTTATCTCCAATTAACCACAAGAAAACTGGAAGTAGCACTGTGGCTCAAGTGGTAGAGCGCTAGCCTCCAGCTGAAGAGCTGAGGGACAGCACCCAGGCCCAGAGTTCAAGCCCCACAACTGACCAAAAGAAAAAGAAGGGGGTGGGGAATGGCTACCAAGCACTGGTGGCTCACACCTGTAATCTTAGTGACTCAAGAGGCTAATATTGAGGACCAAGGTTAATCCAGCCCAGGTAGGAAGATTCAGGAAACTCTTATCTCCAATTAATCACAGAAGAAGCCAGAAGTGGCACTGTAGTTAATGTGTTAGAGTGCTAGCCTTGAGCAAAAGGATCTTAGGAACAGCACTCAAGCCCAGAGTTTAAGGCCTGGGATTGGCAAAAAACGAAGGGAGGGAAGGAGGGAGGGAGGGAGGGAGGGAGGGAGGGAGATTAAACACCCTTGATGAAAATATTCAAAATGGATGCCTCTGGAGATTGGGAACAGGTAAGAAGAGATGAAACAGTGAAACTCTTTATGGCTATATAACAGCATTTTTAAAGAAAGGTATTTAGCACATGCTGATAATACCAGCAACTGTGGAGGTAGGGACAGGTTGGGAGGCAGAAACAGGAAGATCTGAAGTCCAGCTGAAGCAAAGTGGTAGAGCACTTGCCTAGTATGTGCAAGTCAAGAGGTTCAATTCCCAATACCACAAAGATTTTTTTTTTTTAAAGAACCCTTGGAGTTGGAGGCATAGGTCAGCTGATATAACACTAGTCAATAAAGCCAGGCGCTGGTGACTCAAGCCTGTAATCCTACTCAGGAGGCTGAAATCGGAGGATTACAGTTCAAAGCCAGCCTGGGCAGGAAAGACTGTGAGACTCCTATCTCCAACAAACCACTAGAAAACCGGAAGTGGCGCTGTAGCTCAAGTGGTAGGTAGAGCACTAGCCTTGAGCTGAAGAGCTGAGAGACAGCACTCAGGCCTAGAGTTCAAGCCCCATGACCAACAAAAAAAAAAGAAAAGAAAAAAGAAAACAAAAAAACCCCAACACTAGTCAATGAGTGAAAGCATTAGAGATCAAGTTTGAGTACTAGTCTAAGACCACACTATACCCCTGGCCTGGAAAAGTATCCTTTAAGAAAAGGAGAAATTGCATTTTAAAAGTTCATTAAAGCTGGGTGGTGGTGGCTCACGCCTGTAATCCTAGCTACTCAAGAGGTCTGAGGATCACGATTCAAAGTCGGCCTGGGCAGGAAAGTTCCCATGAAACTCTTATCTCCAATTAACCACTAAAAACTGGAAGTGGTACTGTGGCTCCAGTGGTAAGAGCGCTAGCCTTGAGCTCAAAGCAGCTCAGGGATAGCACACAGGTCCTGAGTTCAAGCCCCGTAATTGACAAAAAACAAAGTTCATTTAAAAAAAATAGTGAAGCCAGGTGCCCGTGGCTCACACCTGTAATCCTAGCTACTTAGGAGGTTGAGATCAGGATCGAGGTTCAAAGTCAGCCCAGGCAGGAAAGTCCATGAGACTCTTATCTCCAATAAACCACTCAAAAACCGGAAGTGGTGCTGTGGCTCAAGTGGTAGAGCGCTCACCTTGAGCTAAAAAGTGCAGGGACAGTGCCCAAACCCAGAGTTCAGGCCCCACGACTGACAAAAAAAACCAACAAAAAATGCAGTGCCCAAGTCTCAGGACCCCCACCAAGAAGATCACTGAGAGTCAGATGTTCTGAAATGCAAAAGCAAGGTTTTATTTAGAGGGGCTGCCCCTCAGCCTCCTGTGGAGCCTAGGAGGAGAGGCCTGAGCTAAAGATTTACAGGGCTTATAAAGGCAAACAACCAGGTGTTTGGATTACCACCACGCCCGTTGCTCTGCTAGCTGAGATAATTGGTGGTCTATGTTTGCTCACAGGATTTGCTTATCTTAGGCTTAACCTTTCAGTTTAAACAAGCAACAAATGGTCACTGCCTCAAAAATGGAGTTAACCCTTCAAGAGTCTCACAGACTTTCCTGCTGACTTTGAACCCTGATCCTCACATCTCAGCCTCCTGAGTATGTAGGATTACAGGCATGAGCTACCAGTACATGTGTCATGTATGCTTTTTATATGTATATTAAATTTCCTTATTTTTACATATCCTGAACACAGACCCCTTGAGAACCTATATTCTACCCACCTCACAGTCAACTCACCTCTCTTTTGCATCATCTGGGTCAAACAGTCCATTGTCTCAGTTACTGATAATCTCTAAGCGTAGCTCTGTCATTCAGATTATGCCTGTTCTGGGTAGAATGGTCAAGATAGTCTGCAGGTCCAGCAATTCCATAACAGATACTTCTGTTCCTCAAGCTTCTCTCTCCTCACACCACAGATGTGCCTGGAAGCAGGACCTGTGGGCTTAGCAAGGAAATCTAATTTAACTGATGCCTTTCACTGAATCCCTGCGGTAATCAACCTCCATGATAACCCCTGATGATCAACGTTCTAGTATCCATACTTTCTGTAGAAAAAGTATTCCTTGCTCTCACAATAAAAAGAATTGATCTCAATAAACAGGACACTTTGTAAAAGTGATGGTATGTGGCTTCCAGAATTAGGTCTTCTACATACTTTTGGAGCTTGCACCGTGAGTGAAGCCACCTGCCTGTCACACCATGCAGACCCTCCATCAACCCGAGTGAGAAGATGTTATCAACAATTAATACCAGTCAGCCATTTGAAAGCAAAAGCTTCAGCCCCAGTCCAGTCTTCTGAAAACAGCTGCCCTAATCAATCTGTGAACTTCTGGAGCCAGAATAACTGGCACAGTCACACTCCACAGCATTTGTGAGGTAACTAATGTTTAAAATTGTTGAAGCCAGCTGGGCGCCAGTGGCTCATGCCTGTAATCCTAGCTACTCGGAAGGATGAGATCTGAGGATTGGCAGTTCAAAGCCAGCCCAGGCAGCAAAGTCCGTGAGACTTGTATGTCTGTGCGCCTGTGCGTGTTTGAGAACCTCGGGCTTGAACTCTGGGCCTGGGCGTTGTCCCTCAGCTCTTCAGCTTAAGGCGAGCACTCTACCACTTGAGCCAAAGTGCCACTTCCGGTTTCCTAGTAGCTTATTGGAGATAAGTGTCCCTCAGACTTTCTTGCCTGGGCTGGCTTTGAACCATGATCCTCAGATCTCAGCGTCCTAAGTAGCTAGGATTACAGGTTTGAGCCACGGGTGCCTAGCCCGTGAGACTCTTTTTTTTTTTTTTTGGTTGGTCATGGGGCCTGGGTGCTGTCCCTCAGCTCTTCAGCTCAAGCCATTGTGCCACTTCCAAATTTTTTTTTGCTTATGTGGTGTTGAGGAATCAAACCCAGGGCCTCAGGCATGCAAGACAAGCGCTACCACTGTGCCACCTTCCTAGCCCCCAATTATCTTATCTCCAATTAACCACCAGAAAATCCTAAGTGGAGCCATGGCAGAAGTGGCAGAGCATTCACCTGAGCTGAAGAGCACAGGGATAGTGCTCAGGCCTAGAGTTCAAGCCCCAAAACTGGCACAAGTAATAGGAAGAAAGGAAGGAAATCAACCTGAAACAAATACCATCAAGACCTGAAACACCAAAAAAAAAAAAAGAAAAGAAAAGAAAAAGGAGAAAACCCACAGGGTTGGAAAAATCACTTTTCTGACAAATATTCTGACAAACCCTGAACAGCAGTATCAGACAGAACTTGTATTACAAGGTATTTGCCTGAACTAAGAAGCATGTTTCCAACATTCTTGATTTATTTTTGTGGTGTTGAAGATCAAACCCAAGGTCTTAAGTATACTAGTTTAGCTGCTCTAACAGTGCTTTCCATCCTCAAATATCAGACAAAAAGCCTGTTTTGGGTTTTGTTTTTTATTAGTGGAGCCTGGTGGCTCACCATGTGAAATCCCAGCTTCTTAGAAGTTTAGTGGCTGCAAGTCTTTCTGTAAGACTCCAATTAACCAGTACGATTGGTGGCAGGTGTGGCTATAGTACAGTGACAGCTGTAAGCAATTAAAATGAGCAAGTACAGGAGATCCTAAGTTTGAACTAATACTCACACCAAAAGAAACCCCCCTAGCAACAACAAATACATGTTTCCTAAGTGGTAGATTGGAATCTTGGTGCTCCTTTCTCACCTCTACCAGAATTACAGTATTTCTAGGAAATTTTGCCTTGCCCTGCCACTGTAGGGATAAAAAAAATGTTCTTTCTTTGGCTAAAATAATCTTAGTATATTTGGAGGCAGAGGTTTTAAAGGTATTTGCACAACCTCTTATGTTAAGAAATGAAAAGGAAGCCGGGCACTAGTGGCTCATGCCTGTAATCCTAGCTACTCAGGAGGCTGAGTTCTGAGAATCGCGGTTCAAAGCCAGCCTGGGCAGGAAAGTCCGTGAGACTCTTATCTCCAATAAAAACCACTAGAAAACCAGAAGCGGCGCATTGGCTTAAGCGGTAGAGCGCTTGCCTTGAGCTGAAGAGCTGAGGGACAGTGCCCAGGCCCAGAGTTCAAGCCCCACGACGGACCAAAAAAAAAGAAATGAAAAGGAAAAATTCCTTGTAAACCAGTCATTTTTAAACTAGAGATCCTGACAGGAAAAATGGAAGGCAGATCTGAACTCCTCGCCCTACAGCTCAGCCACTTAACCAAATACAATATAAATCATTGGCTGAACAGCTGAATATTGTTGGAGAGAAGCTGCAAACAACGAGAAAGAAGTAATAAATTCTAAGTAAATGTGCTCTGTGCTACTGAATGTACAGGTGGAATATAGGTATTATGAAACCTAATTCAGGGCTATAAATATAATAGCTAAGTGTGCTTGTCTAAAATGCAAAAGGCCTTGCGCTAGATCCCAACACCATCTTTTTAACTTTTTTTTTTCTTTTTGTCGGTAGTGGGGCTTGAACTCTGGGTCTGGGCACTGTCCCTCAGCTCTTCAGCTCAAGGCTAGCACTCTACCACTTGAGCCACAGCACCACTTCCCCAACACCATTTTTTTTTTTAAAGCTACTTATACACTAGAAGAAGAAAACTGGAACGCTGAAGAACAGTCCCAGGTACAGTGGGGCAAGGGCCTACAGAGAGAGGGTTACTATGAAATGTGTGGGAAACCACTAGAAACCAAATAGAGGAACTGGGAAGGGGGCTCGGTGGTAGAGTGCTTGCCTCGCAGGCATGAAACCCTGGGATCGATTCCTCAGTACCCCATAAGCAGAAAAATCTGGAAGTGGCGCTGTGGCTCAAGCGGTAGAGCTCTTGTCTTGAGCATACAGACAGACTCAGGGACAGAGCCCAGGTCCCGAGTGCAAGGCCCAGGACCGGCAAAAAAAAAAAAAAAAACAGAATTTTAAAAAGTAGCTACCCAAGTCACACGAGAAACCCTGCACATCCCGAACGCGCAGACGCGGCCACGAACATCACCAATGACCCCCAAATACACAACCACCGCCGCCACAAACCGCATCCCCGCCAAAAGCCACCCGCGAAGCCAGCCACACGCACACGAGCCCCGCCACGGGCGCCCGCCCCAATCATGGCGGCCACTCACCCGCAGGGCCGCAGGCTCCGCGCGCGGCCTC